TTTTGTCACGTTCATTTTCTTAGTCTTCTCAATGTTGAAGTTCCCTAATTTCCTAGAGTGGGGAACCTAACACTTGTTGAACACTTTCTCTAACCAAGCACTATATAATAATATGTATATAATGATTTTAATATAATAATATTTAATATGTATATATTTCAAGGGTATTTTCTCCATTTTACAGATTTACAAGTTTCAGTGAGGTTTTATAATTTGCCCAAAGGAACACACTAATGAATTTGACAAAGTTTACATTTAAACCCAAATTTTTCCAGTTCTAAAGTCCTCCTCTTTGCAGTTCACTATCAATTTGAACAAATCTGATCAGTGTTTCTCTTACTATTTTCTTATGTTATCTGCATGCTTGAAGCAGCAGTTCATCCTTCCTCACTAAAGTACATAGTTTTCATCCCTTGAAATAGTTCATCCTTCCGTTAAATTCACTTAGATCAATTGTAGCAATATGGTTTCCACTTTGCTCTGGTACCTCTTTCCACTATTTGTATCTTAACTGTGGTTCTAGGCCTGGAGTGTGTTTGACATTTTCTCTCTTTCATTTGTCTCACTACTGAATACATATCGATTCTTACAGCAGAAATGATAAAAATGCTGTTGAAAATTAAAATTGTCAAAATATGGGTGTTTGAACTATTAATAGTATCTAATTGAAAAACAAGTATAGTGAAAGGTATTAAACATTTTTAAAAAATTTTTAAATAACTCATCTTATAAATGATCTGAAATTTTGTACAGAAACCTGTCATCTCAAAAAACAATCCATTTCTATTAGACAAGGTATATTGAACAATAACTCCCTGGAATCAATTATAGTGTTTTGTACTGTACCTCTCTAAGATCTGATTTTAGATAATCTGCAGGGGGATTGAAGGTTGTGAGACAAGGAAGTGACAGCTTTAAACTGACCAAGTATAAGGTAATATATTTAGAGAAAAATTATCCAAAATTAGTAATAAATTCTGTTTTTTTGGTACAGTTCTCCAGTCTAGAAATTACTGCTTTGTGGATGTGGAAAAATTTAAAGATGCTTTTTTTGAGGCAAAATACTCCAACTTTTTAAACCAGACTTTGCTTTGACTTCCATGCCTGATGCCCAAATTCCAGTTCTTCAAACTGGAGTACATGTACTCCTGGGGGTAGATAGCTTTCCAAAAGGTGAATAGGTATAGATTTTGAATTATTTGCTAGGGTGGTTATAACAGTATTATAAACTATATTGCCTAAAAACAACAGACATTTAGTGTCTCTTAGTTTGGACTCTTGAAGTCTGAAATCAAAGTGTTGGCAGGGCCAGGTTCCCTCTCAAACTCTGGGTAGAGTCTTTCCTTCCTTCTCCTAAGCTACTGGTGGTGGCTGGCAATCCTTTTCAATCCCTGGTTTATAACCACATCAGTCCAATCTCTGCTTCTGACTTCACGTGGCATTTCCCTGTATTTTTTCACATTATCTTCTTCGTGTTTGTGTGTGTGTGTGACTTTCTCCTTTATATAAGGACAGCAGTCTTATTGGATTAGGACACACCCATAATGACCTCATCTTAACTTGGTTAAATCTGCAAAGATGTTATTTCCAAGTAAGGTCACATTCTGAGGTACTGAAAGGAAGGACTTCAACATGTTTTTCTTGTGGGTCATTCAACCCACTGCAGATATCTTTTAAGGGAATCAATTTACAGATCCTCGGCAATTATATGTATACATTTTCCTAAAATTGATATAAAATTTATGAATTTTAAAGAAAAGCTCTTTCATATCATTGTCAGTTGGATGATGATGGGTATCAAATTACTGGGGTGTTTAGGTTGCATTTTAAAAAGTGTGCTAACATTTAAATTATAATGGCAGTGTAGCAGGCACACAAAAAAGATGCTCAGGGAAATGCAAATTAAAACTACAATGAGACATCACCTCACACCAGTTAGGATGTACACCATCCAAAGGACAAGGAAGAAATGCTGGTGAGGATGGGGAGAAATGGGAACCCTCCTACACTGTTGGTAGGAATGTAAATTAGTTCAACCATTGTGGAAAGCAATATGGAGGTTCCTCAAAAAACTAAAGAAAGAAATACCATTTGACCCAGTAATTCCACTTCTAGGAATTTACCCAAAGAAAACAAGATCCCTGATTCAAAAAGACATGTGCATCCCTATGTTTTTCGCAGCACTATTTACAATAGCCAAGATATGGAAGTAACCTAAGTGTCCATTAGTAGATGAATGGATAAAGAAGAGGTGGTACATATACACAATGGAATATTATTCAGCCATAAGAAGAAAACAAATCCTACCATTTGCAACAACATGGATGGAGCTAGAGGGTATTATGGTTAGTGAAATAAGCCAGGCAGAGAAAGACAAGTACCCTATGATTTCATTTGTGGAGTATAACAACAAAGCAAGATGGAAGGAACAAAACAGCAGCAGGCTCACAGACTCAAAGAAGGGACTAGTGGTTACCAAAGGGAAGGGGTTGGGAACTGTGGGTGGGGAGGAAGGGAGAAGGGAATTAAGGGGCACTATAATTAGCACACAGTGTAGGGGGGTCTGGAGAAGGCAGTATAGCACAGAGAAAACAAGTAGTGACTATAGCATCTTACTTTGCTGATGGACAGTGACTGCAATGGGTTGGGGGTGGAGGGACTTGATAATAGGGGTGAATGTTGAAACCACAATATCATAAGATTATTATATATCAATTATACCTTAATTTCAAAAAAGTTTTAATGGCAGTATTTACAATATGCTGGAAATTATATTTGTTACAACCATTTAAATCTGTGATAAAAAATTATAGCTGTCAACTTGAAAATGTGTGAGGAAGTACTAGTTTTAAAATTATTTTAAGAAATGGTGAGCAAATTTTTTGAAAACCGCTGCTCTAGAGTAGGATCTTAACTTCAGTACTGTTACTGTTTCAAACTAGATAATTTTTGGCTGTGAGGAGGCTGTCGGGCACTTAGTAGGATATTTAGAAGTAGCCCTGGCCTCTGCCCCGCAGATGCCAGCAGCAACTCTCCCAGTGGTGGCGACCAAAAAAGTCTCCAGACTTTCCCAGATATCCCCTAGGGATCAAAATCGCCCCTGGTTATTGAAATAGAGCATATTGATCTCCTTTCAGTCAGTAACAGAAAATACATGTATTAGCATTTAGACATTTGCTAATTTCAATTTTGAACTGTGTACTATATAGCTTTGGTCAAAAATACAACCTAAAGTGATATTTTCAAGAGATATAATTAAGGAACATGATAATAATTGATTCACAAAAGTCAATAAATTTTATCCCTATGGTATGGTAGGTGGCTAAACAGCTACATATAAATCCTCTGTTAACTTTTGCTCCATCTCTGTACATCTTAATATTTTAAGTCATTGCTTCTATCTGGAGTCATTGTAAAAAATGGCTGCATGGAAAATCTCTATTATTTTGTAAAAGTTCTTATTGAAGACCTACTCAATTTAGTTGTTTCCCTTGTGTCAGGACCCAAACCAAGTTCCTGCATTAGCTTAGAAGTGAATTGGCATATTTTCTTTCATTATATTGCAATAGTTCTGTAAAGCTTTTTGCCTTAACTACTTGGAAGCTATGATCTAAATTTGTGGCTCAATTACAGTGTCTTTAGCTGTTTTCTAGTATAATTAATTTTTTACTTTCCTTCCCTTCATTTTATTACCGTTTCTCTTGTTTAAATGGTTCTTAATTGTATGGAATCTGTGCCTTTTAGCATAAACATATTGTTTTGGAAATTTAAATATATTAAATAAATAAAACTTAAGGGGTGATATAGTTTGAACTGTCAATAACCCAACAAAAAAGGGTACAAAGTCATTATAGTGTGTTTTCCTGGCATCGTTTTCTCTGTACTACTCTTGGCCTAAAAAAGGACAGTGATTTGTTGGAAATCTTAAGAAGGTAATTTATAAAGTAGACAGAAAATGAATACCATTTTCCTCTCATAATAAAGCTCCGGGGGTCTCTGTTTTTTATTTTTAGGCTATTATATGAAGTCTGTTTTTATTTTCTTTAACAATTATCTGTAATTATTGATGCTAAGCATAGAGATAAGCATTTAATGAAAGTAGCCTAAAAACATTAGTTTGTTTTAGTCAGAAATGGTGAAGGAGGAAAAGTAACATTTATTGAATATGTGCAATATACTGTGCCTTGTGCTAGGTACTTTATGTCATGTTTAATCCTCACAGTGGTCCTGTGACATAGGTGACCATAATACTATTTTTACCTGCAGGGAATCCAAGGTTCTGAAAGAAGAAATGCATAGATAGGTCATTCTCACCCCAAAGTTCTTTTTCTTTACACAATGAGCTGTAAAGGCTTCAGGACAGTGCCTGCCTAGCACATAGTAAGCTCTATAGGTGTTACTGGGGTATGAGTAAGGATCAAAACTGCTAAATGCTGAAATAGTATGCTACATCACATCCTAGGGGATATAGAGAAACAAATAGAATAAATACAAGTAATCTATTTAGAATGGATAAAAAGATCAGTTTATGGTAGTTATCGTCTACAATAGTTGATAACAAACCCAGAATACAAAATCAGATTATGTTAAATTTAATGAATTCTCCAGTGAATTACCAACAAAAACTCAAGAAGTAATTTTTATCCTAGAGATGAAGTAAAGGTTAGTAGTAGTGTGCAGTTCTTTTCACCTTTGTCAGAGGCAGGAAATGGAACTAGGCAGGTCATGCATGTAACTCAGTGTGTCAATTCTTACATTTTTGTGTCGAGACTACTATATTATATTATCTTTGTCTTTAAATATATTACATATTCGTATGTATATATAAGGTAGCTTTTTCTATCTAAATTAAAGTCTCATGTCAGATGTTATATTGAGAGGTGATTTCTTATAATGTTATATTTTCTTGTGTGCTTTGCTAGTCTTCAAAAAACATAATTACATATCTTCCCTACAGAAAAAAATAATAATAATGGTTTCTTGCCTTTTTCTGTCTTTAGTTCCGTGTTTTCCAGCACCCAACATAACTTGCAAGGATTTTGGTGGCAATGAAACACATTTTACTGGAAATGAAGTTGGTTTTCTTAAGCCTGTATCTTGCCGAAACGTGTATGTACATTACTGAAGCAAAATTTTCAGATATTTGCTGATGTTGTATCTTAATTGCATGGAGTGAAGAGGTAAAGAGTTAATTTATGAGGGAAATCTTGCGCTAATATAGCTTCTATCTTTTTGCTTGTGTCAGAAAATTTCAATGTTAAGTTAAACATGCTGCTTTATAAATGCAATTTATCAACCAATAAAGCTCAGTGGTTCTTTATGTGGCATAGAGACTTACGAATGGCCTCATGCCCTGTCAGTTCAATCAGTTTATGCTACCAAATGAGTTTTTAAAAAATTCTGTTTTCAAATTTGGAGGATTTCTAGAGTGTAAATAAGGGATTGTGTGCCTGTAGTATTAAAAGAATACTAATTAATCATTTGTATATTAAAGGACATTTGAAACTTGGTTTCATTCTTTGTAATAGTATGGATGAAAAATGGTAATGTTAAACAATATAAAGTTAGTTTGGAATAATAAGACAAATGGCTTTATTTTGTTAGGAATATTATCTTTATTTTGTAACTTATCATTAAAATTACCCATCAATTTAATTCCCCTTATTCTGAGTCAGTGCTCATCAAGCAAATTCTATTTTGGAATTGTAGATTTTACTATAGGAGAGGAATAAATTTGCCAGTAGATTTGGGAGTATCTGGTTTTCCTGAGACTTATGTTTCTTACCATAATTAGTGTCAGTGTTTGTGAGCATGATGAGTACAACTCAGTCACATTAAGCCTAATCTACCCAGAAACACTGAAAGAAAAATCAGAGTTAACTTGGAAATTAAGTTGTAACCATTGTGCTGCCATTACAGGTAATATGAACCCAAAAGGTCCAACCTGAGTGATTAGCTGTCCTCAACGGATGATTTTCTTAGTTGCTGTATTATAACCTATGATATCTTGGGCCAGCAATTAATTGTTTGTCATTGGAGTATTTAAGGTAGAAATTTCAATCTATAAATTTAAAAACTAACTTAATCATATCTAGGTATTTTGGAAATAGTTCCTTTTAACAATTTTGCTTTACTGATGAGAAACCTTGGAACACAAGAAGCTTAAGTGATTCATTTGGGATTACACAGCAAGATAGAATCTAAAGTGCCTCACTAACTTAGTGCAGTAGGGTCAAAAAAAAAAAAAAACTAATAGTAATTCCTAAGAATTCTAATAGAACTTGTACAAATAGCTAAATAATGGTTATTTCTTTTTACAACTGCAAATAGATGCCATCAAACAAAAAGCAACAATGTATAGTTTAGAAGGTACAAATAAAATGCAACAATGTACAGTTAAAAGGTAAGAATAGAGGCATTAACTTCCAGCAGAATTCAGCCTAGATCAGCAGAACCACAGCCAATTGCACTGTACAAGTGTGAGAATAATACTTATTGTTTTAAGTTACTGAGTTTTAGAATGATTTCTTATACAAGGTTATTGTAACAATAGCTCACAAATAAATACTCCCCTATGGTCTGCTTTTGGCACAGCAGCTAGAGTGATTATTTTACAGTCCAAATCAGATAATATCATACCTCTCCTTAAAGTCATGCAGTAGCTTCCCATAGCTCCAGAGTCTATAATAGTGTTCAAGGCTCTGCATGATTTGCACTTTCTGAGACCTGCCTCCTACAATTCTTCCCTTCTCTTACTCCACCCCTGCTCTATGGCCTCTTTAATAGACTTCAAACATGCCAGGTATGCTGCCTTTGCTCTACCAGATTGTTTTGCCTGGGACACTTTCCTTCGAGGTGGGGCACAGCTAATTTACCTCCCCAAGTCTTTTCCTCAGGTGTCACTTCTCAGTGAGGCCTATTCTTATCACCTATTTAATGGCCCTTGTCAGATACCTCTGACATTCTGGATCTCCTATACACACTGCTCCACTTTTTTTTTCATAGCATTTGTGACTCTCTAGCATAATGTACAATTTACTTTTTAAATATGTTTGTGTTTATTGATTGCTGCCGCTAGATTGTAATGCCTTGAGGGGGCAGATAACTTTGTTTCTTGTTCATTAATACATCCCAGTAATCTAGTGTCTGGCATGTAGTAGCCATCCAAAAAGCACTAATTGAATGAATGGGTGAATAAACCAATTAACGAATAAATAATAAAGTTTTGTTTTCCAAAATGTTTACATGTTGGAAATCTGTGAATGTGACACTCATGTTCTAATTCTGTGCAGAAATGGCTATTCATACAAAGTGGCAGTTGCACTGTCTCTTTTTCTTGGATGGTTGGGAGCAGATCGATTTTACCTTGGATATCCTGCCTTGGGTGAGTATGTGTCATTAAAAAAAAGTCCTGTGAAACTTGTAGGTAAGTATATCTATTCCTATAGATTAAATCTCTGCATACTTAGTTCCATGTAACTGGAGTTGAATGCTTGACGTTCTTCTGTGAGTATAGAGCTAGCAGTTAGCTCTACAGTTCAGCTTGGGTAAGAAATACTGACTTTTCCTGCATTTTCATCTTCATGGAAACACACACTCAAGATAGTATAGACACTGACTTAGGACAGTAGACATGACCTATTGTTCCTAGTGCTGGCACATAGTGGATGTTCAATAAATGTATTCTGAATACATGGAGCCTTCTCCCTATCCCTCCAGAAAATATTTGCCTTCTACCTGAACCTTTATCAGTGTTGCCTTGGGAATAGAAACTACTTCTCTCAGGAGTAGTTGGGGCTGGGACTGCTGCAACCAGGGTGAGTGGTGTGGAGCCTGACTTTATTACCCTTAGCGTCCTTCCCCATACCTTCCTCCTGGCTGTAATCTTTGATTTGCCATAGTTACTAATGCTTATGAAAACTGTTTACATTTGGTGATAACTTTTGTTTAAATAATACTTTCACATGCCTCCCTTATTTAAGCTTACAAATCTCTGAGGTTATTATCCTCTTTAACTTTTACAGGTAGAGAAATTGTCACCAGAAAGGTTAAGGGATTTACTGACTCTAGAGAGGCCTTGCTTTATTCTGTGACTTATTTGCTGTTACCATCCTTGTTTTATAGATAGGGAAATTGTCACAAGATTAAGAGATTTACCCAAGGACCCTCAGCTAGTGACCTGAATTTGAACCCAAATTTTCTGACTTGGAGATCACTTTTTATTTACTGAAGTACTCTGCCTCTCTATTAACCCTTTACTAAGCAAATTTAAAGTTTCTAAGTGCTCTGCCTTCCTGTTAGCAAAGCTAATTGTATTTTTTCCACACTGCTACCCACCCGAGATCAAAGAGGAATCTTTACTATGGCATTAGTAGGAAAAGGGGTATGTTTCTGAAAGCCTTTCCTGGAATTCAGTGTTATGTGGTCATAAATAGAAGTCAAAATATAAAATACTATATACACAAATTTATTCAGTTAACAAACATTTATTCAGTATTTACTACCTGTTAAGTAAGTAACTAAGTGCTCTGGAAATAATGATAACGATCACAGTTCATATTGGTAAAAAATAAATATGTTGGTAGCCAATTTATGAGATAGTGCTACTACAGAACCATAACACAGTGCTATGAGAGCACAGAAAAGGGACTGATTTAGTTGGCCTGTGGATGTGAGGAAGTTCTTAGATGAGGTGACATTTGACCTAGATTTTGAAGAGATTTAGTGTATTTTAGGGAACAGCATGTGCAAAGGCACAGGGAGTTAAAGGGCATGTATGTGAATTGTGTTGGGAGAATGGTAGATAAATTAACCCAAGGTATAGGAAGAACAATGGCAGGAGATGAAAAGTGACTGCAGAAGTAGCCCGTAGTCAGATTATAAAAGCTTTTATTATCTTGTTATGGAGTTTGGATTTTACCCTTTAAACATCAGAAGCATTAAAGTTTTTAAGCAGGAGAATCATGATCAGCTTTATATTACAGGAAGATGAGAGGAATTGTGGGAAATGGCTTCAAAGGAGGAAGACTGGTGGCAGAGTAAACTGAAAGATGATATGATAGTCCTGGCCTGAATGATACAGTAACTATTTTCATGCCATTTATTACAATAGCCATACCTTTCCATTCCATTAACACAGCTAAAAACCAGTTTAATATGCACAGAAGGCCTCTGAGTTGCCAAAATAAAAATCATTTAGTCTGACTATTCTTAGATGATGGCTGGCTGGACAGAAGGACAGATAATCAGATGGAGAAACTAGGTTAAGAATAGGAAAGTTAAAATGACATGGTCATGATTAGAATACATCTGAAGCCTTCTGCCTTAATACTTGTATTTTCTTACATGTTCTCTTTAAGAGGATAGAATATATATATTTTTTGGAAAGATTTCTAACTTTTAAAAAGTTTTTAAAACATTAGGAAGGAAGGAGAAAAACTTAAAAACAGTTTATTCTGTGGTGATTTTGAATAGTAAATATATTTAAAATTTGGGCTTAATGAATGACTTTTTAGCTTGTGAAGTATGTCATGAGCTGTCATATCATATAGTGTAAGTTGTTGTTTTTTACTTAACTGCAGCACCTAATAATATGTTGGTATGTATCTTGTGAATTTTTTCTTGCAGAACAAAATTCTAGGTAATAAGACGGTGTAAAGCTGTGTATAATGGCTCTAGTTGAGTGAATGTTAAGTTTCCTGCCAGAAGCTGCCTTTCCCAGGTCACTGCTACTCCAATCTATTATTAGCTTCAGGCAAAGAGAACCTTTCAGTTTGAGGCTGAGATTCTATAAACTTGTAGACTTTTAACATTTGACTTTATGCTTCAGTGTTAAGGGTTTTTTTCTTTTGATTTTTTAAATAATTTATATCACAACAACCTTTAGATGTTTATTGATTCAACACATTTTGACTATCGGCTTAGGATACAACTTCCTCAAGATTGCTAAATCTGTCACTTCTTATCTATCTGCTTTACAGCTTTTGAATTTTTGTTGCTATTGTCTTATCTTCCATTTTCTTTATTCTAATTGGGTTTGTGACTTTAAAAATCCCTTTATCATCTCTTAGTGGGTCTTGGCTTTAAAGGAACTAAGTGGGCATGTCCAATTCATTATCTTCAACTGAAAATCCTCTTATCTCTAAGCAGATATTTTTATTCGTATCTTACTTCCATTTAAGCTATCTTAATGTTAAGGATTTTGATCTGTTTTATCAATCTAATCTAAATATGTGAAATTATAGTGGTTGTAAATTTTAAAAACATTTCTGTTTTTAATGAAATTTTAGCTTTTGCTAAGAATCCAAGGTTAAGGAATTTTGGTATTTTCAACTAAAATGATTACTACTATTTAAAAAAATTCTTAATGGGCAATAACAATGTTGACAGATATGAAAATAGTTCTAGACAGAGCCTAAAATTCTATTTTTCTTGTAATCTTATTTACTCTTCATGGTCTATGAGAAGTAGTTAGTATTTATAGGTAGTTTTTAAAATACTTTCTTAATATTGTTCATGACCATTGGAATTTTATAAGAACAGAATAAATAATATAAATCATATAGATATGAAACTTGTTCCTTGCTATTTTTATTAAGTAATTGATTTAGTGTTCAATGTGATACTTCCTTACATAAATTATATTTCAAGATTAAAGAAGGGAAATTTGAGGTGATATTGAATAAAATTCTTTTAAGAAAAGTTTTCTTTCTAGATATTTAAAATTCCTTCTTAGCTCAAGACTATGATTTTATGTATAGCTTTATTTCCTTTAATTGGTTTATTCCTCAATATACCAGTGTTCCTTTAGTTGGAAGTCTTTTTTCACCAAGAATCATTATTTTTCTAAGTTGATATTCTACTTTTGTGCTTTTGTCTGTGTTACATCTGTGATTTTTTTTTTTAATAGATAGGGAAATTGTCACAAGATTAAGAGATTTACCCAAGGACCCTCAGCTAGTGACCTGAATTTGAACCCAAATTTTCTGACTTGGAGATCACTTTTTATTTACTGAAGTACTCTGCCTCTCTATTAACCCTTTACTAAGCAAATTTAAAGTTTCTAAGTGCTCTGCCTTCCTGTTAGCAAAGCTAATTGTATTTTTTCCACACTGCTACCCACCCGAGATCAAAGAGGAATCTTTACTATGGCATTAGTAGGAAAAGGGGTATGTTTCTGAAAGCCTTTCCTGGAATTCAGTGTTATGTGGTCATAAATAGAAGTCAAAATATAAAATACTATATACACAAATTTATTCAGTTAACAAACATTTATTCAGTATTTACTACCTGTTAAGTAAGTAACTAAGTGCTCTGGAAATAATGATAAAGATCACAGTTCATATTGGTAAAAAATAAATATGTTGGTAGCCAATTTATGAGATAGTGCTACTACAGAACCATAACACAGTGCTATGAGAGCACAGAAAAGGGACTGATTTAGTTGGCCTGTGGATGTGAGGAAGTTCTTAGATGAGGTGACATTTGACCTAGATTTTGAAGAGATTTAGTGTATTTTAGGGAACAGCATGTGCAAAGGCACAGGGAGTTAAAGGGCATGTATGTGAATTGTGTTGGGAGAATGGTAGATAAATTAACCCAAGGTATAGGAAGAACAATGGCAGGAGATGAAAAGTGACTGCAGAAGTAGCCCGTAGTCAGATTATAAAAGCTTTTATTATCTTGTTATGGAGTTTGGATTTTACCCTTTAAACATCAGAAGCATTAAAGTTTTTAAGCAGGAGAATCATGATCAGCTTTATATTACAGGAAGATGAGAGGAATTGTGGGAAATGGCTTCAAAGGAGGAAGACTGGTGGCAGAGTAAACTGAAAGATGATATGATAGTCCTGGCCTGAATGATACAGTAACTATTTTCATGCCATTTATTATAATAGCCATACCTTTCCATTCCATTAACACAGCTAAAAACCAGTTTAATATGCACAGAAGGCCTCTGAGTTGCCAAAATAAAAATCATTTAGTCTGACTATTCTTAGATGATGGCTGGCTGGACAGAAGGACAGATAATCAGATGGAGAAACTAGGTTAAGAATAGGAAAGTTAAAATGACATGGTCATGATTAGAATACATCTGAAGCCTTCTGCCTTAATACTTGTATTTTCTTACATGTTCTCTTTAAGAGGATAGAATATATATATTTTTTGGAAAGATTTCTAACTTTTAAAAAGTTTTTAAAACATTAGGAAGGAAGGAGAAAAACTTAAAAACAGTTTATTCTGTGGTGATTTTGAATAGTAAATATATTTAAAATTTGGGCTTAATGAATGACTTTTTAGCTTGTGAAGTATGTCATGAGCTGTCATATCATATAGTGTAAGTTGTTGTTTTTTACTTAACTGCAGCACCTAATAATATGTTGG